TAATTTAAATTAAACATGTTTTAACCGTACCTTACCTTTACCGTAGTGGCTGCCATATTATATGAGAAATGAAAATTATCCAACATGTTACTTAGTATTCTATAATAAGTGGTGGAATTACTAAATTTGTTACTTGTTTTCTCTGATCTGTATGTACTACAGTTTCAGAATATATATTCTATATTAATTATCAAATGTACTTACAGTTTAGCTGTAATACTTTTTGCAATTTATTTTGATACTTAATCCTAAAGCGCATCCCGCTTTAGGATCTAGTATAAAAAAAAAACGGAAGGGAGGCGGAAGGAGGGCGGAAGCCAGCCATTTCTTCTTATAGGCAAAGTCTGATAACCAGACCGCTGATAACAAATACTTAAATATTCCTAACTACATACGTATTTTAAATAAATTACACCCAGACATGAAACAAATGATCTTGCTCATCACACAATTATTTGTCCTGGGTGGGAATCGAACCCACGACCTCCGGATTAGTAGTCAGGGTCACTAATTGATAGACCAACAGGCTTGTCTATATATAAAAATCATAAAATCAATATATGTTCGTTAGTACATCATGCGCTGCCGTTTATACAATCATCAGAAAATAATATATATATAAAATTTGCTATGTTGCATTTTTCTTTTATAAATTGGATTATTTTGGGTATAACAAACTACATATATGGCGGGCCGGGAGAGTTCTAAACCTCTCCCGGTCCCGCTCCGCCGTCTCCTTCGCGAGCATAACTTGCTCGCAGAAGGAGACGGCAGAGTTCCACGCACTCTCGCTCCGCAAGATAGCCGCAATCAGGCTGTCGAGCGAGATAACTCCCAATCCGATGGCCGCCACGAGGTCTCGCCTCTGCTCAACCCTCGCCGGGCACTCTGCCAGCGTGTGGAGAGCCGTGTCCACGGCCTGGCCATCGCAGTGGTGGCACTCAGGCGTTGGCTCCTTGCGGATCAGACACAGGTGATCCCCGAAACATCCTTTCCCAGTGATCACCTGCGTCAGTCGGTATGAGAGCGTCCCGTGACGCCTCTCGAGCCAATCCTCCATAACGGGTCTTACCGCCGCGATGACGGCGTGCCCGTGTCTTTGCGTGGCCCTAAGAAAAATACATGTGTTTATGTATGTTTAACAGAAAATCGATTTTGTTTCATTTTTATTAAAGTCTTGTATGTTCACTTATAGAAATTAAAATCAAAGAAAATCCATGATAAATTCAACTGCTCCCGCCAAAAAACTCAATGATATTTTAGCAATATTTATACATATATGTATTTGTTCTGAGCACTTTCACATCTTAGTCATACAATTTAGTATAACATAAATTACTAGTTATTGCCAAATTCTGGCAACCTGCCTATATCCAGGGATAGGCTTTTATCTTAACACGTGCGATCGATTGAGATTAAGGGAGGACTATATAACACAAATAATACACATAAAAAAAGTATAAAAGAGTATATAAGTATTCTATCAATTAATCTAGTTTTTATAGTACAAGCTCTGCTTAGTTTGAAACTAGATGGCGTTGTGTATCAAATGTTCGAAATATTATTGTTATTATTTCCGTTGGCAGTTATTTACTACTTCTATGTAAATAATTACAAATAGGTACAAAGGGTATTCAAAGCTTGGTTGTGTTTATAGCAGGGAGAAGAAAAAAATTACATAACCAAATAATGTCGCCATTGGACGAAATAGAAATACATTTTAGTAAAATAACATGAAAGCGTATCTATTTTCAGTAATCTGCTAATTAATTTACTCGTTTTTCTCCATCCCTTATACCGCACATTATCGGTTAGGTTACCGATAACATGTAATTATGGAAATCATTAATTAATGTCGAAAGAGTATATATGACAATATTCATGGAAATACCCTATAATTATATATAATAACTAGCTGACCCGGCAAACGTTGTTTTGCCATATACATTATTTCTAGGAAATTTTGAAAAAAAAAATTTGGGGTGGGTCACCCTTGTCATTTAGGGGTATAAAAAATGGATGTTGGCCGATTCTGAGACCTACCCGATGTGCACACAAAATTTCATAAAAATCGGTCCAGCCGTTTCGGAGGAGTATGGTAACTAGAGGATTCGATCCCGGTCGATTTTTATAATCCCGGGATTTCGGGATTATCTACAGTTAATCTCGGGATCCCGGGATAGTCCCGGGATTGTATTGGCAATGGAAAGTGGTAACAAAAAGACAGTAAACAAATCAAAATATTTTGATTTGTTTATCATGTAGTTTTGTGAGGACATAGAATATTTAAGTTTTAAATCTCCAAAAAGGCGGTTAACCAAAATTATACTTTCTTTTTATAAAATAATCAAACTAGTGCCTATTTTGTTTTGTGTTGCGGTAAATAATTTATGAAACTAACAATAAACTTCAAAAAATCAACTTCTTTAGACTTATTTAGATAAACTATAAAAAAAGAACTATATGCTTAAGAGACCAATGTTTATAGATACATATTCATATTTTTTAATTAAATTGCCCAGAAACTTTATAAATTACACACTTTTACGCATAATCCAGAACCGGTCATTAGCAAAACAAATGAAATCAGCTGTGTAGACAAGATGGCTGTCTAAACATCAAATCAAGGCAAGTGCGTTTCTTTTTACGCACATTTTTATTGACTTATGTAAAAAATGTATCAATCCCGAAAATCCCGGGATTCATTAAATTTGATCCCGAAAATTTCGGGACTACAATATGACCGGGATCCCGGGATCGAATCCTCTAATGGTAACTAACATTGTGACATGAGAATTTTATATATAAGATAAATTGCATGCTATATGCTCGACTGTCGATGACTTGGTTATCGCGGTAAAAAGTAGCCTATGTCCCCTCTAGTGTCAAAGTATCTCCATCCCAAATTCCTTTAAAATCGGTTTAGCGGTGAAAGCGTAACAGTCAGACAAAGTTACTTTCGCATTTATAATATTAGTAGGGATTATTTAGAGTGTGAGTTGTGAGTTGATACGCACGTTACATTTGTATTATTTGCAGCTGAACTTTTGTTATGTTAAGTCACAAAAATATGAAGTTTTATCTGTCTTCCAATAAGAAACTAGTTTAGTGGGAAAAAGAGATATAGAACGACACCAAAGTAGATGTGGAATGATTAAGCATTGTAAACACAAATAATTTTACTTTATTAAAACTCTCAATAGCATCATAACATTAGACAAAGACTTTCGTAAACGATATTCATATTTATTAAGAATATATGAGTTTACTTTCGTGCTTATTTTGGGGATGCTTGTTAATGCAGGCCTTACACAGGCAGGACGCTTCACTCCTCGAAATAAGACCGAGTACGAAACTAATCGGGCATACCACATATACACACACGTCAGTAAACCATATATCTTTAAGAAATGCATTATAACAATTGTGTAGTTTGAAATAATTGTATCCAAATTTATAAGCTTTATTCACTAATAAATCACAGTCTGTATATACAAAGCAATAATTCCGAACGCCAAACTCGATAAATTTTTATCAGTAGTTAGACGTACTGATTTATTCAGATGCATGTTCGAAATATACCTGTCTATCTAATAATAATCGTTTAGTCAATTTGATAGGAATTTTCTCGGCACCTGCGGGCAATGACGGGTCTATTTTTAACCTCAACAAAATCCTATATAGGTGAAGCTTATAATTGGCCGTACCCGTTGTCGATCTATGTCAATGGAACTAAAAACAGAATCAAACAGATTCCGAAAGCCCAGAGTATTAGTATTTAAATTATTTATGTGCAAAATAGATATTAAAAGTAAATAAATATATATATATATACGAGTATGAGCGGTGAATGTTCACAATATTAACTCATTTATAAGTCAATGATAATTATTAGCCAGTCAATCTTAGGATATTTGAAATAGCACGCAAAGAGATCATTGCATGAGCTTTTTTATGAGTGATTGACAGGAAGTGGTCCACTAGCACTACTTTTACAGCATATTCCTTCACCTAGAGTAAGTTTTACGGTCCCTAGAATTCTATAAAATATCGTCTGGCAAGGTGGGAGATGTCGACGTTTGGGAATTCGTTAGACGGTCTAATTATGTCTGATACACTACGCTCAAACCCCAAACAACGCATACTCCAAACGAGTGGCAGGGGTACCTTTTCGGGGACGGAAGAATTCGTGTTTTAAAAATACTACCGTACATATATATATATACAGTTTACATATTCTCGTATCGTAAATATACAACTACTGGCTGACTTTGACTTTGCCCCGTTTTTACAATATTTTCATTGATGCCCGGCTGCTATTGGTCATAGCGAGGTGTTGCATTGCCTTCCTTGATAAATGGGCCATCCAATACTAAAATAATTTTTCAATTCGAACTAGTACTTCCTAAGATTAGCGCGTTCAACCAAACAAACTCTCCAGCTTTATAATGGTATCTCCAGCTTTTAAGCAAATAAAATTTACCTGTTCTTGTAATTCGTGAGCAACACAGAGAGTATACTACAATCGAGTGTAAAAAATACAAAAGCTTGTTGCTCAACAATACAATAGAAAAGTTTTAATCTGGCACACGAGTTAACGGCTACAGTCTACGACATGGAATCGACGCGCTCCGATGGGCATGGAACAGATATCAGCCGACGTGAAATCCGTAGTTGTAAGGTTGTAAGTCTACGTGCTACTGTTTGTTATTCTAGCGGCATTGTCCCTTGATGTGCTGAAGCGAATATACAGGCGTTTCTATCAAACTGTGTTAACATAATGTTGTTTCCTAAATTGCTAGTGTTTTTTTTATCCCGCTTTAATATTACCTTGCTTTTGATTATGTTGAAAGGAACCCATAATTTACAAGTGTAGACAGCTATAGAAACGTGTGCGCTTCCATCCAATTAACCAGCTGGAGTGTTATTAGCACTCAACGTTGTGCATATTTACTAATATATACATACGTATGTGTGCGGTATAGTAAATTGCGGCTTACCTGTGCAATTTCCTTTCTAGTGCAACAGAAATTGATGAAAGTGACGTTAACAAAGTCGGCACCATAGCACACGCTTACAGTCTTTTCTTCGAGAGATCCTTGTGAGCCGATCAGGACAAGGTTGCGAATTTTTGGATCCTGTGAACAAGAAATTTTTATGTTTCGTAACTTTGTAACGTCACTTGTCAAAGATGTCACGTCATTATTAAAACATCACATTTAATTGATATTTACATAATACAAATAAAATATGAGAAGAAATGAATAAATTATATGGACAGATTGAAAAAAACAAATGTCTTTTTACGGAGCGTATGTTTTTGTTTGTTATTGTTACGACTGAAGTATTGTTACTTAGCTCTAGGCAAATTGTTACAAACGAAAAAAAAAGCTTACCAAGTGTTTTTTTTTTTATGTCAAACACATACCGACTCAGTTTGTAGAATAAACATTATGCTTAAAATCTAATCGCGCGCTGCCTTTCACAAACGTTATTACTTATGAAAATATGTCTGAATTAGAAATTATTTTTATCAATCCTAGCGTTTATATTAGTTTTGTCAACTCAGTTTGGCAAACCAAATTAAATCTGATTGAGTGTAACTCGAGTCGTACCGAATTAGTAACACTAACTAAGTAAGTTCTCAATCGGTAACTAGGACATAGCGTTTGCTAGACTTATAGGTACTTATAGGTATATATAAATGATTGTCCCACTCGATGCAAATATTGAGTTTATGCATTTAAATTTATTTACTTTTGGTGCATTTTGTTTCTATACAAAAAAAAACCCGATTAAAATTTCTATACGGTATACTCAAACTGATCTGGAAAACCAGACCAAATATAAAATCATACGTCATCATCATCAACAGCCTTCAATAGTGCACTGCTGGATATATGCTCATAGGACATATCTCAGGAGGTTTTAGCCTACTGTACCACGCCTGTCATACGTAATCTCATTACTGGACGGTAAATTACAATAAAGGACATCATTCACGCTCCATACAAAAAGTGCCGGCCAACGAAAAAAAATGGTTTTATCGGTTAGAGAATGACATTCTAAGATTGTTTTCTTTAGAAGGCTAAGACCGATTACTTATGAGTTATATGACTTAGAAATAATAAAAAAATGCATTTATACGAGTCGTCTGAACAATTTTTTCTTCATTACTATAGCAAAAATCAAATAATGATGATAAAGAATAACTTAATCTCGCTTAATAATAATATAATATGACAAAAAGCCTAATTATATACAATCATCATTAGGTACCTCAGTACCTACGTAGGTATTTATGTGTTGGTAGTAGTGTTATAAAATATATGTAAAGAAAAAGACTTCATTTCGTTACCTACGTGGCTTTAATTATATGTTATAATTCCGCATGTCTCATTTCGATAGTCTTGCGTTGTTTAGGTTTTTAATTATTCAGAAATAGTTAATTGAAACATAAATGTAAATGCTTATTTTATGATTTTCGGAGATCCATTTTGGGTCTAAAAGTTGGTCGTAGACGTTTGTTGTAATGATGTCCTTTACTAGGTTTGTACTAACCAATTTGCAAACCGGTTGGTGAAATTTCTTGATTCAGTATTAGAAAAGTGAGTGACTGAAGTTTTTCGTACAAGATGTGAGTGATTTAGAAGACAAAATAAAACTTTTATACAGAACTAAGTTTTGTTTTTGAAACAGCAGTGGACTATTATGATGATAGACTCTTTGTGGGACTAGTGTCTTAATACAATCGTAATTCCAGTGATGTGTCTCTGCGCGACTCAGGCGATCGCCTCACCAGCAGTATATGACATAACGTTAGTAAGTCTATAGTTAGATGTAGGTTGTTTTCAGTCCAATTCGAGTCAAGATCTACAGTGTCCCACCCCTTGACCTTTGCCCCAAAACTTAATCCAAGACCATTTCTTTCTACCAGAAATTTCCTACCCATTAAACATTTCTTAAAAAAAAAACAATTACTATTTCGCAAGAAAAGCATAAGTGAACTAAAATTGGCTACAGAATTACACAGAGTCAAATTATAGCCCTTTACTTCAGGTTGTTGTTAAAATTCTTTAGGCGTATAACAAAGTTGAAATTCGGAGAAAAAACGTGCAATGTTCAACAAAATGAACTTTGATACAATGTTGTTCTCAAATCGTACACAGAATGACGATGTGGATCGATTTTATCTCTGGAATGATCTAAAATTTTCTATCGCAGTGTTTTTGACATTGTGCAATCGGCCCAGTTTAGTATACGGTTTATCGATTCTAACCCAGTTTTGTACAATAAATGTTGCCAAGTCCTACAGATGTTTTAGTAATTTTCCTTTAACACTATTTCATCGTATCAGGGCTCGCGTGTTGTAAAACCACAATAACTATAATTTTTGTCGAATGGCGCCCAACCTCGACCACGACATAACTTATCCGATAAGACAAACGATTCTCGACGCGCAATTTATTGATACAAATATACGTACCATGATCCAACGTTGCGGTTATTAGCTGCATTGTTCAAATAGTAACAATGATATAATATACCAGGAATTTTTAAATTGTAAATTTTCATTCTCACGCTCAATCAGTTTTATTTTTATTCATACAAGCAACGTGGCTCGAAGCGCATTAATCGCTCATTATAAAGATGAACGTAAATTGATCAATATTAAAAAGTACTTTAAGCTTCAACCAGTTCTAGCTTCGCACGGGTAGCAGAGCATATTATAACACAAACCTTGACAAATTATACACCTAAACCTTCCTTGTGAATCACTCTCTCTATTGGTGAAAACCGCAGTTGAGTAGTTTTAGGCCCGGGGTTCTCTGAACGTGTCGGTCGCGTGCGAGCGACGACCGACGCATGTCCGCCGCCGGTGGCGTACGCAGTCGGCCGCTTGCGAGTGGGTTCTCTAGCACGGATGCTAGCGTCTTGTAATCGTGATTGTGATCGTGAATCGTGTTTGTACTCGGAGCAAAATGAACGAAAATATATTAACATTGTTTAGAGAAGGAGTGGCAGATGAACTTCTGATGTAATCAAAGAAAAGAAAACATAAATTGTTGTTTGATACATCGAACAAGATAGTATTATATCCTATAAAATAATTAACAATTCGTCATTTTCACTTTTAAAACTCATTTTAGTCAGGACGTCGCAGCGTGCGCCGTCGCTATGGTACAAATACGATACCGACCGGCCACCGGCGGAGGACCCGCACGCGACCGACATTCAGAGAACCCCGGGCCTTAGGCCAAACAGACAGACGCAGTGGGGAACTTTGTTTTATAAAATGTAGTGATTATTTTATCAATTTACGGGAGATACATTGCTTATTCTCATAGATAAGACGTAAGATAAATATTTCATGTGCCTATCAATGACTCACTTTATTACATTTAAATACTTCAACTTTATTCTTTGTGAGTCAGCTTGGTCATAATTTCATACTAACCCTAAGGTGGTGGCCTAACGTCAATTAAAATGACATGACGTTGTACCGCTAGATGATACTCGTACAATAGGTCATCAATTGAAAAGAATTAGGAGATGACCAAACCTCTATCTTAATCTCAATTTATCTGAATGAAGACTCTTTTTAATAAATAGTTGTTATTTTTTACTTTCTTTTATTAAAAAATATTAAACACGACGATGACAAAACTTTTAAGTGCAAAAACTTTAAAATGGTAATGAAATATGAGTTCGTTTTTGTTTGATAGCCGACGCCATTAGAAACAACCGTGACTGAATTATGCAGACAACACTTTTTAATAGAGCCTGGCGCGTACTGGGTCTGATCGCAGCTTATTAGTCTTTTTTCTCCAAAAAAAGTCATATATTTTATAAAACAAAGACCTTAGCACAGAAAGATGTAATATTTTTTCAATTATATTGAGCGCAACCGTTCTCAATGTTCTACTTACTATGTTGTAGACTTATCTGCATAAGCTACAAGATTTTTAGCATTAACAACAAATGTTTTCATAATTTTTCACATGCATTCAAGTTTAAGTTACAAATTAGAAATTAATTAAAAGAAAAGCAGAAGAAGAAACAAGATAATTTCATCTAAAAGTAACTTTCATTTGAAGCTATATTCTATTTTAATAGTATTCACACTGTTCTTATAATACGTTGTTAGCTGCAAGTGCACAGAACGAATCTAATAAATTGCTTTACAATACCCTTACTCACAGCTTTCGGTGTTACGTTAAATCCAACTAAATCCTACAGGTTTTTGACCAATTACGGTACTGATAGGGTCAAATGTGTATTACTTCAGAAGTGCCTGTATGCTACCCGACTAATTGAGCTTGAGGTTATGTGTAGATTACCAAATCTTATTTCTTCATAGTATTCCTAATATTATTTATTGTGAATTTTTCATAAGTTATAACGTTTCAAGAGGAAGTCGACATTCTCTTTTATTATTAGGATTAATTTATATTTATTTGTTTATTTTTATTTTATACTAATTTAATAAGTTTGTTAATTCTAAACTTGTAAGACAAGATACACAAGGGCGTGGAACATAACTATTATTACTAATAAAAAGTGTGAGTAAGATTAGACTTACTGGTAAATCAATCTAAATAAATTAAAAAGGAATCGCCAAACGTGTTGCTAAGCTCAAAACTCAAGAACAGCTCGACAATCAGGCTACTTTCATATTATTACTTTTTTATATTACTTTCATATTTTCGTTAAGGCACAAGGAAGGAAAAATTTAAAAATTGGAAGGAAAATAGTAAAAGCAAAATTTTTCTTTTCTCAAACAAACCACAGAGTAAATTACAGCACCTGTCCTCGGCTGTCATTTGACGTCAATCAAACAATACAAAGGCGCGTTAGAATTACCTTTGGTATGCCTGTAAATTGATTAGGCTGTATGGATATTCTCTTATCTATGCCTGTCCAAAATAAAGCTCGAAGAAAAGTGATAACTTAGAAATACGTTTTATTTATTTTTTTAGACTGCGACATCCTCATAACTTTTGACATAACGAAGTATTTCGGGACCGCTAGTGTATTATTCAAAAATAAAGTAACACATTCCTAAGGAAGTCGTTTAAATGTAATAGTGTTGCACAGCATGAAATTTTACACTGAACGTGGGAACAACGGAAATTAA